CGCATAAGTGACTTTATACATATGAATCATTATAAACAAATGTATATAAGAAAAAATACAAAGTAGACATTAATCGTGCTTACATTTACAAGAAAAAATGATTAAAATGCCTATCTACACGCACTAATTTTACGTATCGAAATCTGATTGATAATCTGTACCCAATTAGCATCTGGTGTAACAATCTAGAATAATGAAGAGAAGTAAAAAGAAGAATTTGGATTAATTTTGACATCGAATTTAATTTCCCCTTACAATTATTTATCCTAAATTGATTCGAAAACGTTTTGGAACAACATGCTTGTACATCTTTTCTGATATAACATTTCCAATACAAGCAAACCGTAAAGCATGTAAATATCGAACATGCAATGCACACAATTTACACATAATTATATTACTTTGTAGTATCTGGTTGAACATAGTTCAGATACAACACCTAGTAAAATGTTCTAGAAAATCTCGACTAATCTGGAAATAAAGCTACATTGAGTTTGATTTGTGGCTTAACTCTTAGCTATAGTTACACTTCTGAACATATATCCATAAAAATTAACAATTACACATACAGATAAACATGCGTGAAAAATCAAACACGGACTTATGTACATAAATTCTAGTTTATTCGAACCATTCGCTTATCAGCCAGTGATAGATCATACACAGCGTAGCCAAACTGGATAAGTTTCCCAGCAGATAAACGAAATCTCGTAAGACTAAATCAGGTTAAAATGTAAAGGGTTTCTTTTTGACAACTTTCTGGTTGTGGACTGACATCTAAACCCAATCATAAATCTCAATCAAACATAAAGAAATTTATGTATTCATTTTAGATTAGCCGCTGAATACAAGATATGAAAGTGAGCCCAAAACTATGCTGTGTTTTATTACTTGTCCGAAACTGTTCAATTTGAAGAAGAGTCGATAAAATTACTATCAAAATTAGAAAAGATGTGGTCTTGATTATACAAAACAAAGCATTTATCAGCTAATTTATTTCCAATTCATGATAAGACCTGTTCTGTTTTTAGCGCAATAACAACGCCTCTGCAGGCGCGTGCTTTCATAATTTGATTCATAATTTTACCCGTTTCAATTCAATGTTTGCTCTCCGTTACCGTAAAACTTTAAAAGACTGTATGTGTAAGTTTTGACTGATTCCGCTCAAGGACGATCTATTTTTGACAAGACTGCTCATGGAGATTTTCTTTCCTTATTAGACAACAATTAAATTCAAATAATGATAATTGGATCACTCTAAATCACATATTTTCCATTTAGGTTATCTTATTACATTTATATCTTTCTTTAAAAATATGGTTAAATATGGTTTATAAGGCCATCAGAAAAGATAATTTTTTGATCATCGGAGTTTATATCATCGATTCAGCGCAAATAGCCAAAGTTATGCTACTCAAGGATCTAGATTTACTCATCTCCTTATGAGCGCATTCCTTTTTCGTAGAGACAATTTGGATCTTCCCAGGAAGTCGAGAGGCCCAAGTTGGCCTGGAAATGGAGCCACCAGCTTCACCTTGTCACTCTCATTGCAGAAATCAGTCTAACAGTGAGCCCTTGGTGCAGTAGGCAGACAACCAATATTAGCCAAATGTAAACGCCAGTTGCTCGCAAAAAACAAGAAAAAGGATCGGAACGCATCAATCTCTGTTATACGTGGCGTCAATTGAAAAATTTTCAGTCTGTTTTGTGCTGTTTTTTTTCAAATAGTTAGGTTGAATTTATTAATTTTTAGTTAATTGTTTTGTAATCCAAATTGAATAAAACAAAAATAACAAAAGTTTTTTTGCTCCTAATTCTTTAAAATTATAAAAATTTTGTGTTTCATTTAGAATCATGTCTAAAAAACAGTCGTTCTAGAAAATTCAAAATCGCAAAAGAAGATTGAGTTGTTTTTTTTTGCACAAATTTAAAAATTTACTGAAGTTTTCTTTATTACTGAAAAAAAATGAGTTGAACATCAGCTTAGAACAACTTTTGTTTTCTCTAAAACATACCCCTTACCGTTAATTTTATCATAATTAAAAGATTATTTTCTAAGATACTATAGCTCAAACTATCAATATTGCATAAATACAGGTGAAAAAGATGAAAAAAAAGAACAGTTGAACTTGTATTAAATAGCTTTTTCAGAACCAAAAATATTTTTTTTTCAAACTATAAAAATTTTGATGGTTTAGCAAGAAAACAACATAATGTGCAACTCTAGTCAATGTAACTTGGTGTACGGTTAAACCTGCAGCCTAATCGTCAACTGAAGATATATCAAATTACAGAACTAACAAATGAATCAAAAAACAAAGTTTTTAAAAAAGATTACAATTCTTAGTACAATGGCTAATTTTTTTTTCGAACCAAAACTTTCACCGTCTTAAATTTTCTGTAAAAAACTAAATAATTACTTGAAATCAATTTTCGATATGTCAAAAAACTCTATTCGGACCGTCCAACAAAAAACTTTCAACAATTTGTTTTGGAGTTTTCCCCTGTTATGCAAGTTAGTAAGCCTCGGCTTTTTCTTCTGACCACCAAAAGCGCTTCTCATGACTCACTGTCAATTTTGAGTTGAAGTTTGATACCTTTGGAAAATTCGTTTGGGAGATTAACAGACATATTAAAAAAATGTTTATCGCCCTTTTTTATTTTTTCAAAGATGAACAACATTGCTAAATGGTGTAGATGAGTTGGCTGAAAGCTGGCGTTTCTTTGCAAATCTCTGCTTGCGACGTTTGCATTGTAAAAATCAAAGTGTGTATTTAGGTTTGACTGTATTGGAATATATTCATACGTAAAACGTAATGAAAATATTTTTGTGTGAATATTTCTAGTAATCTATAAACAAATGCAAGAAAAAATACTTTTTGTGTATGCGTGTATGTATGCAAGTTGATGTGTTTGTAAGTATGAGTACAATTTTTTTCCTTATGCGCGTGTAAACCAAAACAATTGTTACTAGAAGAATAACTATAACCCAATCTGAATTTTACTAATGTTTCTAGTTTTTCTTGAAAGTTAGACAAGATACTATAAGCATAGTATATATGTACGCACATATGCTTTGCGTATGTGTGTATTTATGTAAACTGTATGTATCTATGTAAAAGTGTACAACTTTTTGCATGTACAAATGTAATTAAACATGTATGTACATACTGTTTGTGTGTACTCATTTGAGTATTTAGAATTTATGTACATTTGTATGTTTTTATGTAAGTAAGAACTCTTGATTGCGTGTCCGCTTGATTGAGTGAATGAATACAAGCATTTTTTTTCAACCAATGTATGTTTTTAGGCAAGTACTTCTGCTTATTCGTATATCAGTATGAAAGGCACGTTTATATGACTGTACGTAAAGACGTATGAATGCCAGTCTGTAATGCGTGATTCTTTTTGTCTGATTGTGTGAAGTGAATGCAAGTTGGTTTGTGTGTTTACATGTGCTTGTATTTCAAAGGTCAGCAGAACTAATAAGTAAAATCTTTGCATGTATGTAAGCCAAATTTTCGTGTGTGTCTATTTATGTAAACTGTATCTATCTATGTGAAAGTGTACAATTTTTTGCATGTGTAAAGGTAATTAATCATGTATGCACATACTATTTGTGTGTATTCATTTGAGTATTTAGAAGTAATGTATATTTGTATGTTTTTATGTAAGTAAGAACTCTCGAATGCATGTCCGCTTGATTGAGTGAATGAAGACCAGCAATTATTTTGAATCAAGGTATGTTTTTCAGTTTAAAAGCATTTAAAAGTTAGCTGGTTTGCAAATTGTACAAACTTATGATCGAAGTTTTATGTCTGTTTAAAAGGAAAGTGTGTACACATGAGTAGTTGCATGATTGTAAAGTACATTCCATGTCTTTTTGTAGGCAAGTACTTATACATATTCGTCTATGAGTATGAAAGGCACGTTTATATGATTTTATGTAAAGACATATGAATGCCAGTCTGTAATGCGTGATTCTTTTTGTCTGAATATGTGTATAAGTTTGTCTTGAAAGTGTGAAGTGAATGCAAGTTGGTTTGTGTGTTAACATGTGCTTGTATTTTAAAGGTCAGCAGAACTAATACACGAAATCTTTGCACGTATCTAAGCAAATCTTGCGTGTGTGTCTATTCATTTAAACTGTATGTATCTATGTAAAAGTGTACAACTTTTTGCATGTATAAATTTAATTAATCATGTATGCACATACTATTTGTGTGTATTCAGTTGAGTATTTAGAAATTATGTATATTTGTATGTTTTTAGGTAAGTAAGAATTCTTGAATGCATGTCCGCTGGATTGAGTGAAAGAAGACCAGCAATTATTTTGTATCAATGTATATTTTTTAGTTTAAATTTATTTAAAAATTTGCTTGTTTGCAAATTGTACAAATTTATGATTGAAGTTTTATGTCGTTTTAAAAGGAAAGTGTGTGCACATGAGTCGTATCATGCTTGTATAGTAAGAACCATGTCTGTTTATAGGTAAGTAATTATGCACTTTCGTATATGAGTATGAAAGGCACGTTTATATGATTGTATGTAAAGACGTATGAATGCCAGTCTCTAATGCCTGACTCTTTTTGTCTGAATGTGTGTATATATTTGTCTTGAAAGTGTGAAGTGAAAGTAAGCTGGTTTGTGTGTTTAAATGTGGTTCTATTGTAAAGGTCAGCAGAAATATTATGTCAAAATCTTTGCATGTGTAAAAGCAAAATTTTAGTATAATTGGTTGCAGGTTTAAAAACATGTAAGCAAGTATGTAAAATTTATGTTTGTATGGTAGTTTTTTTTGCATTCTTCTTATGTATAAGACTATGTACGTTTGTATTCATACCTTTACGTAAGACTTCATTTTTGAATGTTTGTATGTATAGAAGTATTTTTGCATATATGTATGTAATTTTGTAAGTATGGTTGTATGAATGTCTCTAAGTAACTTTATATATGTATGTATATATGTAACTTTGTATATATGTATCTATATATGCATGTATATATGTGTTTATGTAAGTTTGTACTTATGTACATATGTATGTATGTTTGTATTCAGTAAGTGTGTGTACGTAATTGTTTTTGTATGTAAGTTTGCATGATTAACCTTCTGTAAGTATTTAAATGTGTATGAATAAACGTATGTTGGTAATAAAATACACATGACTGTTTTTTGTGAGTATGCATTTAAATTTGCAACATATGAAAACGTGTTTATGTTTTTTATGTTTACAAGTATGCAGCTTTATATGTTTGGTGGGGTATATATGTTTGAGTTTAGTTGCAATCGTTTATTTTATTTCATATAAAAGTATATATGTGACTCAATCCAAATCTTTCTTATATTTCTTCTTAAGTTTCTCTAATATTCTAGAATAATCAACCAGACACTATAATGACAGTTTTTTTTTTCATTTTCTTGATTTGCAGAACAATTTGATAATTTTTTAAAAAAAGTTTTCCTCGAAATATTTGATCTTCCAGGTATCCTCATTATGAACTTTTCACTTTGAAAAAGTGGCATATTTTGCATTGATAATTTCACTTTATCTGCAGTCAATGATTATGAAAAATGTTTCAAAATTGTAACAAGAAAGATCAGTTTTCAAGTTTTCACAAAATTTTGTCGATGGAAGCATCAAACCCCAAGTCCAATTGGAGACAGCATGGAGTCTAAATTGTTTGATGAACTGTTGCTCATAGAGGTAAAATTACGATAAGAAAATTATTAGAAAAAATTTATGGTTTGTTGAGGAAAATCATTGATTGTGCAAACATGCGGCTGGTAGAGCTGAAGACGGTAAGCGAGCAAAGTCTCAGTGACAGGTACTGTATATTTGAAGGATGATTGATCAATCTCTAAAAACCACAAATTTTCAATGGTTTCCATTTGAAAAATCATAATTTTGAATCAAAGTTATAAAACCACAGAAGTGAAGCAATTGTGTAATCAGATAAACAGTCAGTACCACTTTTTTTAAATTCAAGATTTATTTAATCGATAGAGCTTTTTATGAAATAGCTCAAAATGCTTACGCCTTTTTTCTTTTATATGAATAGCAAATCTTTCTGCATTGAGGCTCAAAATTTTAATTCCTCAAAGTAAAACTGTCTAACAAACTTTTTATTGTCAAATTAAACATGTCTTTGTTAGTCGTTCTAGCTTAAGATAACACAACATAATTGACGTTTATCGAAATGCATTGAAACTACAAAATGGCACTTACAAGTTTTCGGAAACTGCTGTAGCCAAATTGGTGTGAAAGCGTTGTTTAGTGTGAAACAGCTATCATCCTGACGGAATCCGAAGATTAAGGTAGAGTGTTGACTTTTTATCTTAAAATTTCAAACACTTAACCGTTTTTCGAAGACATGTTTTGTTAATAGAGAAGACAAAAATCGATGCAAAAATGAGAAGAAATATCATGATGCGAACTGTTTTGATACTGCTAGTGATGAGAACGTGAATTCGAAAGCTTGGATCACCTCAAACATATATTGAAAGAAAGGTTGAACTTTTGATAACACAATTAGTTGCCGCAATTAGAAGCCACCGTATTTTGAGAGACAATAACGTAATCATGGAAACATTGAAAAGATCAGATTTATATTAAAAAACTCAAAATTTAATTTGTTGAGCAGAGGGTTAATCAATGATAATAACTGATAGCGCTTTTGAATAGAAAGATCTTGCTAAAGCCAAATTGAGTTAATTAGAAGATACTGAGAACAGTTGACTAAATTGTAGTATCAAATTAAAAATTGTTCAATTGCATATTCTTTTAATGGAAAAATCAAAATTTTGGATACTTAAATTATAACTCTGAATTCATATCAAGTTTTGAGTTTGTATCCATAACTTGTCTTAGTTTGTGTTCAGTCTTTCCCGATTGAATTTGCTCTAATTTGAATAACTGCTTTCCTTAAAAGTCGCAAATAAATTTTCACCTGCTTTATTCGATGGTCACTCTGTTCTGTCGTATATATTGGCACACAAATAACAGTTTTCCCCCAGTTTCTAGGTCCGCTTTGATGAATATTTTCAAAATTTCTGTTAGCACAAAAAAGTTAATAGGAAACACTAAACGTTTTCTAGAAGCCCCGAAAATTGTTTCCTTTTTATTATAAAAAGTGGTATATGCAAGTCTTAGAAATGGCTGCAGCAAAATTAATGGGCACTTTTGGCTTTCATCAGTGTTCTCGTTTTTCAAGATCTTTACCTACTTCAACTTATTAGCTCTTTCAATCTTTCTATAAAATCAAAGCTTTTGTCATAGATTTAAGACGTTTTTTCAGTCTCCTGTAGACACGGAAAATGGAAATGTCGAAACTTTCAAGCCAATTTCATTATTTTAGAGTTTTCAGTGTTTCGTAATTTTTCTTTGTTTTTACCTTCATTTGGCTGAACGAAATTTTTCATTCTTATTTCGGTCAAATTGATCATTAGTTTTTGTCTTAATAGAGGTGGCGGCCGCCGCACTTGACGAATTTTGCTTTCTTCGAGATTCAGCAATAAAACATGCATTTTTGAAGGAAATCGTTCACCGCAGCCAACAGTTAAGCTACGCTGTCAAAATCTTGTGCTTTCCTAAATACCATATAGTTTGGTCGCATATAATAGGTATATAACGTCATTTTACATGTAAACAAGCCAATACCCCCAAACTTTAAACGGGAAAATATGCACCGACCAAAACTTAATTCCGTTCCCGTTTCAACAACGTTCAGTGGGAATACTCAATAAAATACCGAAGTTTCACATGAAGACTATTAGGTATAAAATTATACATGGTGACAATTAGGATTATTACATAGTGACCATTAGATATAAAATTATACATGGTGACAATTAGGATTATTACATGGTGACCATTGCTGATCATTTAATACATGGTGACCATTATGATTTATACCTAATGGTCATCCATGTATGACAACCCCCCCGATCCTATAACGCACTATATGCATACTACTAGTTTGCACTGCCGAGAACTCTTTTTTCGTTTTCATCAAACTACTTTTCCTTCATATTGGAACTACTTCTTCCAATATGAACGAAGAATGCCCAAGTTTGACCTGTACATACATCATAGACATCGACAAAACAAAAATTCAGCTTGATTTAATTTTGTTTGTTTTCATGTTTTCAATCTAACTAGAGCCCCCTCAAAAACATTTAACCGCCTCTCATTTTTTGCTGTGTCAGAAACTAGAGAAATCACAGCAACACTAGCCAGTTTTATTGGTGTACTTCGCATATTTTGATGCGGAGGCTCAAGTTTGTTAGAATCATGGGCGGATGGATCCAAGATTTTGGAACGAGTTTATAAATTTTTATAACCAATCGTTTTCCGTCAAAAAAAAAGTACTTTATGTGGCCTCGAACCTGAGTCGAGACTCATTACTTTTATTAATCTCGTCTTACTTGTAGGTGATTTTGCGGTCAGTAGCTGCTTCTATCATTACACTGTTTGGGTGCCTTCGAGTCAAAATGTCTTCAAAGTAGTCAGCCATAGTTTCCCATTTGTCCTCCGTTGAGGGGTTGAATGTTCCGAGAGGCGACTCAAACACACCCTCAGCATTCGGAGTGTACAGTCTGCGATGAGCCATTTTAAATTAACTTTTTAAAAAAAATTTGAATTTGCAATATGTGAAATTTCTGGCGGATTTTAGTCAGCTGGATTTGTAAAAAAAAGTTGAACACCAAAGTTTTTAGCTAACTACTGATTTAAGCTTAGCTTATGCTATGGAAACGATGAGTTCACAGGTTGTTCTGAATGGATCAATGGCAATGCACTTCCAAAGATGATTTTTTTTGCTATCGATGAATGATTTTTGCCGTTTTTACAAATCTTTTTTTTTGAGATCTGAATCGCGTTATCCGCCATTGTATGTGTCAAAAATTGATTTCCTATGATAAATATTGTGTCGGTGTTCACATTTTTTTATTGCTTTCTCAAGAATGGAGTTCACCTTCAGTTTCAGTAAGACTACTGAAAGTTTGATGTTTTCTGCTTCAAACCTCGACTTAAATTCTCCTCTGAAGTAATCGTTGGTCGAGTGGGAAAAAGAAGTGAAGCTTTAATTGAAATGCAAATTTGACTTTGTTTGGTTGCTGCTCAAGTTATTTGATAAAGAGCGAGTGAAAGCATGGTAGTTTTATGGATCAATATGGTTAAAATGGTACAAGAGCGAATTTAGAGGTGCAAAAACATTGCCCGATAAAGTTCATTAGAATGAGTGCTTCACTAATCTTGATAAAAGATTGCATGCTTGATGTATGAGAGACGACATCCCAACTTTTGTCTCAAAAAGTATTACCTTGCCTTCAAAACATATACAAATTGTTTAAGCGCAATGAACTTTACGGACAACATTTTGGAGGCTGCCCAAAGAAAAGAATGTTCTAAAAGCAGAAAGGGTATATCAAAATGCAGAACGATATATCTCTAAAACAATCGGGCCGATAGGTGTTTTGCGCTTGCTGGTCTTGAGACGCGAATCATATACGCACTCAACTGGCGGCTATATCGTGGCGGAGCTTGCCCGATGCCAGGCTAGAGAGAAATTTTTGTTACGACTTTCGACGAAAGTGACGGAATGTTTGTGCCCGGGGTGTTTTTTACTCCAGGAATTCGACTTTCTATTTAGTAATTTTTAAGTTAAATTTCTTAAATCATTCGAAAGTAATAATGTTTTGAGCTCAAATTAAAAAAGATATTTTATCTGTGATCATTTTTTGTAAAATCATCGGGGTTTAAAGATTGCCAATTTGGCCAACTTGGGACAATTAATGCGCGATAAATTTCGTATTATTAACGCGTAAGCGGAGATTTATTCCGCATTAGAAACCTTTCCATATTGAATTGAGGCTTAATCTTTCGTCTATTTAATTTTTTGCTATGTGCAAAAATATCACTATCACTTTGAACTTTACCTAGAGCAGGGGGAGATGATTTTCAAAAAAGAACATTAGGAAAATTGTTACTTGATTTTTTAAAAAAAACTTGATCAATTATTTAATGTTAAATTGCAATTTAAAAGTGTCATGATACGAGCAGTCTTGTTGTTTCGACCTTCGAAGAAAACGGAATATTTATGCTAGATGTGGTGTCTTTGTGCAGTCAATTTTCGGTGATAAAAATACTAGTTTTGACAAAAATTCTTAAAACAAAATTGAAGCTAATTGTTCCGACTTTCGATACGAAAGTAACGGAATATTTGTGCTCGGCATAGGTTTTTTTTTCAGACAAATTTCGACTTTTTATCTAGCCATTTTGACGGAATTTTTTTTATATAATTCAAAAGGTATTGTTGTCCCGAGCTTAAATTTGAAAAGATATTTCACCTGTGATCGTTTTTTGTAAGGTTATGAGGGTTTCAAGATTGCCATTTTGGCCAATTTGGGACAATTAACGCGCGATATATTTCATTTTGTAAACGCGTAGGCGGAAAATTATTCCGCATTAGAAATCTTTCCAAATTGAATTGAGGCTTAATCTTTTGTCTATTTAAATTTTTGCTAGGTGCAAAAATATCACTATCACTTTGCATTTCAGCTAGCGCAGGGGGAGATGATTTTCAAAAAAAACCTTAAGAAAATTGTTACTTGATATTTAAAAAAAAACTTGATCAATTATTTAAAGTTGAATTACGACTTAAAAGTGTCATGATACGAGCAGTCTTGTTGTTTCGACTTTCGAAGAAAACGGAATATTTATGCTAGATGTGGTGTTTTTTGTGCAGTCAATTTTCGGTGATTAAAACTCAAGTTTTTGGCAAAAATTTTTAAAACATTATTGAAGCTAATTGTTCCGACTTTTGATACAAAAGTAACGGAATATTTGTGCTCGGGGTGGGTTTTTTCTTCAGACAAATTTCGACTTTTTAACTAGCCATTTTTGACGGTTTTTTCTTATATCATTCAAAAGGTATTATTGTCCTGAGCTTAAATTTGAAAAGATATTTCACCTGTGATCATTTTTTGTAAGTTATGAGGGTTGAAAGATTGCCATTTTGGCCAATTTGGGACAATTAACGCGCGATATATTTTGTGCTATTAATGCGTAAGCGGAGACTTAATCCGTCTTAGAAATCATTTCAAACTGGTTGAAAGAAGCCTATTTGCCATAACTGATTTGTTACTAGGAGCGGAATCACTTTGTATTTTATATGGTGTGTGGGGGGTTGATTTTCACAAAAAAAACTCAATTTTAAAATTTTTTGTTCATTTTGTTTATTTATATTTTTTTCATCTTATTACTGCTCCATAAACCTTAAAAGGCAATCAGAACATTCCGGGCTTCGCCCTGATACGAGCAGTCTTGCATTTCTCTGAAATCAACAGTAAAAAGATTTTTTTACCTCCGATCACTGTTTGCAAAATTCTTGGAGTTTAAAAATTGCCAATTTGGCCATGCTCTGGACTAACCGATGCGTGCTTTTAAGATTTTATTCATAATGCTGACAGCGTAATGCGAATAATTCATAATTCATGGGTGGCGAATTTTCTTGCCCGATAAGTTTGTTCCACATTGAATGGAGGCTAGCTAATCGGTCGTTTTTTTTTCGAATGATTCAAACTTATACTTTTTCAATACTTTCTTTTCCTAAAAACTAGTCGATAGGGATTAAGGGGCAGTCGGAACATTCAGGGCCTTCCCTGATATGTGAGCAGTAGTGTTAAAATGTTCAAATTCTCATTCTAATGTTTCCGCCTACAAATAGAGCAAACTAAAAATAGTATTTTTCTAATTAGAGTAATTTTTTATATTTCATTATTTGAGTAAATTTCATTAACTTTGTCTAAAAAAGTAAGTTTTTGACGAATTTTTCCTGCTCTTATTATAATCAATGACAGAGATTTTGGATACCCAAGATCACCAATATTGCAAATGATTCGGCAATAACCGTATGTGTTTTGTTTTTGCATTTCTTGATGTTTTTTATTTTAACAAAAGTAGCCATCAAAAAATCAGATTTATGGAACAGATTTATTAGTTGCCAATGCTATGCAGGAAAAGCTTTGTCAAATTTAATTTTTTTTTTCATGCGAGTTGGCATGGCAAAATTTGTGAGAGAAAAGGCCATTTGTTCTCGCCAAAATATGTTTCCCAGCTTGCTTGTGTAGATAGGGTCTCCAATTTGTACAGTTTTGCATACTAGGTTTTCATGTCTCAAAGCCTTTCAAATCGTTGGTAGCAAAATATCCATGCTAACTTTTTAAAAAATTGTTAAAAAGCTTTTCTGCATCCTGATTTGAGTTCTTTTTTGCCGAACAATAGTTAAATGTCAGACCTCTACGTGAGATAATTACCCGGAATCCACAATTTAAACAAAAACTGAGATTTGCACCCATAGAAAAATTAGGTTGTAAAAAGCAGTTCTGTTCTGAAAAAAATCTCGGTGTAAAAAGCAGTTCAGTTCAGTACAATTGCCACAGATTGTCCCACACTCAACACTGAGTCATCTGAATTGAATGTAATCTGCAACGCCAAAAGCGATCTATAAACAATTTTCTCTGTTTTTTATTGTTTTCACATCAAGCTCTGTAATATTTTTCGACTTTTTTCTTTGTTTTGAGCAAGTTCGTCAATCAGTGAACCTATACGAACCAAAGGTGAAACTATGCGGCAAAACTTGTTGAGTTGGACAATTTTGGGCGGGAGGTTTTGAACAAAAAACTCACCACTATAGAAATTACTTTCTTTCGTAAATCTCCTCTTTTTCACCTTCAGCATCCTGATTTTTAACCAAACTTTTCAATTTCGATTTCAGCTTGGTCTTAACTCGGTGAATATAAATAAATAACATTAAAAGTTTTTTCCTGACCACTGAAAGTAAGAAACGATATCAGTTTTTTGTTTGCTTGTTTTACCACAAAAAAGACAGGTACCACAAATATTTATCACTATATTTGAAGGACTAGTATAAAACACTTTCATTTGTGATTCGAAAATTTTATTTTGATTCTACTTTTCAGTAATGAGTGAAATTGGCTCGGACTTTTTTTATGAGCAGTAATTTTGAGCAAATAAAGAGGTTTTGGGCACGCTCATAACAGGTTTGATTGCCTACCTTGTATAAATCGAGTGATGCTGGTAAATGTTTTTCTAACTTCAATGTAATCAATTTTGGTTTCTTTAAGAGCCTCCTCAAACAATTTTTTTTTAAATCGAAAAAGTTCTCAGAAAATTCTTTATTTACTGAATAAATAATGACAATGCACGTCGACCTCGTTCGGAAGCTATTGTATTTGGAGATTCTTCTTCCATCTCGGTGTCACTTGGTATCGTCTCTCTCTCTCTCTCTCTCTCTCTCTCTCTCTCTCTCTCTCTCTCTCTCTCTTCTCTCTCTCTCTCTCTCTCTCTCTCTCTCCTCTCTCTCTCTCCATCTCTCTTTTCAGAGCTTCTTGGTTGCAATCTACAGATATCCGACTGCGATTGGTTGTTATATTTTGATTGCTTTGTCAAGTCCAACTGTTGAGCTTATTTTGATTCATCTTGAAAAGTTTGTTATCTTGATCAGTTGCTTTTTGATTCATTGTTCACTCGGTTGTTCTCTTCTTAGGATGTTCGGGTTGCGTATTGAACCTGCAAAAATGCGTCGTTGCTGTTTTTTGTTATCACAACAGTTGTAACATTGACTAAAGGAACGCTCAGGGCACCTCATTTTCCCAAAGATGAGCCATCTGTCCTTTGATTTAAAAATCGTTCGTCAGTTTTGTCTTTTCCTTTCGATAGAAGTGCTCAGTAAATTACTAATCTCAGCAGGGCACAGATGCCGTCGATGGCCCGTATTTTTTGTATTTCTGCTTTTTTAGATCACTGGGACGCATTTGCGAAGACAAGCGTTTCTTTCAACAGAAATTGATTCAAATCAGAGCAAAGTTGATCTTGCCTCAAGTTAACCTTGAACAAACTTTGAGGTCACTTAAATTCTTTTGTTAAGGTTTCGGCAAAAAAGTGATATATGTTGTCGAGGGGATTAAAGAGAAATCGAAATTACAAAAAAAAATCAAATATATACATAGCTTCAACTCGAAGCAGACACATCCGAATTTGGAAAAAGTGCTTGCGCAATACTGGAATTGTAAGTCCTGAATGTTCCGACTGCCCTTTAATCGGTTTCGAGTAGTTTTTCTTGTAAATCAAATAATGGCGAAAATATAAATTTCAGGCTGATACTATTATGAATGGAATAAATTAGACCAACTAATTTATTGCCTAGAGGTACAATTCAAGTTCAAAAAATTTTGTCGAGAGGGATAATTT